TAGTGTCAACCCATAACCTCATGAGTGATCAAGCTCAAGATTATAACTTCTAATGATGAGCGCGCTATCACTCAGCTACTACGCTGGATGGAATCAAATGATATACATTTTCCTACTTTTGTTACTTCGCTATATACAGCGACCATTGTTCAATGTCATCAACGGGCATCCACCCCCATTCCCCAAGTGGTCGACTCTCTAGGTCCCAAATTTTCATAAAAACTTCTAGAAGTCTATCATGAATTTAGTCATTAATGAGTCCTAGATATTAATTCAGTTGTGGATTTGCAAGGAATTACCATCTTAAATATGTTTTTGTGTCTTAGTTTACGCCACATAATCAATAAACATTTCATTTCAAAAATAGCGAAAATTCCCCTCATTCCTGAAGTTCTTTCATATCTACTCTATGACCAATCACTTCAAGGTTTTACGGAAGCAACAGAACGAAAATTTTAACAATGTCAGTTACTTTTATTATCTAGTAGATATTTCGTCCACTATCTTTCACCCTAACTACTTTACCAGAATCTTATTATCCAGAGCGACTGGTGGTTATGTTAATTAATAAATGATATCTTGTCGAAAATCATTGAACCGTATATTTCGAAGACTTTTAGTATTTCACTTCAAATGTAATCAAAATGAAACAATTAGCTCCCAAGCAACCTTACAGTCAAAGTCAATGACAAAGATATTTCATAAAAATTGTCATTTACGAGAAATTTCTCTTCATTCTTAAATCAGCCGACGAAACAACGTGTAGAGGTGATTCATATATCGATAGTGTTGTAAGGATATCACTAACAATCTGTAATATACTATGTTTCTTACTTCAGCTTCCTTTCTCGGGGTTGACAGATGTTTCTTAGAGTTCATACAGGTAGCTCACTTGAAGATTCTAAGAATATTTTTATTTGTCTGTTGTATTCACTATGGCCTGGATCTAAAGCCTCCTTAAGTATGTTTGACAGTTTGGGTAAAATCGCTGTTTGACTGTTTCATAAACAAATGGTGAAAACTTCTTCGAACAGTGAAGTGGTTTCTTCAGTCAGCAGCACAAGTATGCTATTACCCAATTTGAATTATATATATATATATATATATATATATATATATATATATATATATATATATATATATATATATATATATATACATAATTTTTGGCAGCTAGGTATTCATAACAAATCAATCACACAAAGCCCATTAGAAATCATCTATAAAACGCTTCATCTCTTTGGCTGTCAGTCAACAACTGGAATGATGCGCGTGAATCTTTCAATGGGTTTTGTTCTGTATTCTAAATGAGATGCCAGTACGTTTAGTTCAGTACTACGCTAGAACACATGTGACCAGAGTGAAACCATTCAAGTGAATGTTTTTTCACCATTGCTTCAGCATTCTCCCATTTATTTGCAAGACCTGATCAACATGGCTCCACTGTCGACTAGATGTCTTATGAGAAGAAATCACCATGGAATTCATTATAGCACTTTAAGACTTACATAAAATGTTGCTACCTTCTAATAGATAAGCACAAAAAAACCTGAGACATTGCGAAATCCACCTTAATAAGTGTACCACTAGTTGCTGCCTAGTAAAATCAAATATAAACATGATATATGTTTGAATATTCTGTATATCATGGTTGTCCCTAAATTAAATAGAATTTTCTCATGTTTGCAGTCATCAGCTGGATGTTCATAATTATGCATCGTACATACAGCAACAGGGATTTGCCAGTCCACTTACAACTGTTCAGTCAGATGTATAGCTGGAAGAAACGCATTTTCCAGTTGATTTAGGTATTGGTTTTCTGCTTTGTTCTCCGGTTTAGACTTGCAATGAAAGATAAGCATTCGTTCATGTCATTATTTGGATAATTAACATTCGGCGCCAGTTAAAACGAGATGGAAAAAGCCAACAACCTGGTTAATCTTGACCAAGTATTTCTACAGTTCTAGGATGGTTGACGGTAAATAAATTTTCCAGCTAAGTTTATAAAGCGAAATATTTATTCATCATTCAAGATTATTGAACTAGGACGAATTAGCTGTCAATTACCTTCATGAGTTTATCAGCCGCTTCAGTTTAGCAGCAATCTGGTTAGCATGCGACATGTCCCTATAAATGATTGTAGCTAATTTGATGTGGTATATTTTATGGATATGATCGGCTTACCACGCTGAAATAAAGTTAATAAATTCGAAAATCTTTTTCATGAACCTTTTAAATGGTCTACTTTTAATTTAGTAGTCCAGGTGTTCGTTTTATAATAAGTTGGTCTTCATCATTAACTGGCTCAACAATTTGAATTGGAGTGACTGAGAGCTCCAATGAAGTTCATCGATACAAGTGATATGAGCATGTGTCATGTATGCTAATTTATCATCTCCTTGTCAAGTAATTTTCGCCAAGTTCAGCTTAGGCTGGAGCAAGGTTAATGGAGGCCAAAAGAATATAGCATCAGTATACGAAGTCTCGAACTGTTTGTATGAGCCATGTAGAGGTATAGGCTTCCTGTTTTGGGTGCATTGAACGGCAGGAAAGAAATGTTGTAGACTTCAGATGGTATGGCTCAGAATCAGATGCACTGGTGTGAATGTATGTACACCTTGTTTACATCCTTACCTTTGTACAACATCTCCCTATTCGCTTTATCTCGTTTTCGTTTCAGCCTATGGCCGTTTACGGCTTTTGTTTACGGTACCTCCACACTCTTGTTAGTGTTCTTATATTTCGGCATGCTAATGAAAGGCGTAGTAAATTGGACTGCAAATCAGCATCCATCTCATATGTGCACACTGACTGGGTAACTGAATACGTAAAAATAGTTACACTGAAAGCACTTTTAATATTGAACTAGAAGGTGAAAGTCAAATTGCGCCGACAGTGGTTACACTATATTTGACTACGCAAAAAGAAACAATGGATCGAAAAATTGGAGTGAATAAGGGTTTTTCGTCGAATTCTCATCAGGCTCACCTTTAAATAAAACAATTTTTAACATAAAAATATAAACACATCAAGTGACCAAACATTTTTCACTGACAGCAATTTTCAAGTTCATTATTTCTTTTGAATTCGAAAATTGTGAAACACATTATTTCACAGAAATTTATACGGTAAATGGATAAAACGATTACGAGATCACTGATTAAACCCGAAATGGATCAAATAAGTGTGTAACTAAATAAACTGAGACTGATATTGAAACTATTCGAGATGGTCAAAACAAGTATAAAATCAAAAACAAATCCATCACTAAGCACAAACCAGATAAAGATTTGGTCTGAGATTAAGTCACTGCACATCTAGTTTCATGGAGGACCATGGAAAAACAATGGGTTGTACAGGTTTCCTTTTTACACGCATTCCTAGATTCCGAATTTTTACAGAGAATGATTCCGTAGTTTGCAGAATATGAATTCCTACCACCTGTAATAGGTCCTCGGGTATCTAGTGAGTTACTGAAAAGTAGATATGTGGGAGTATCGACTAGGCATGATTGTGTGGATCTAGTAAATAATCTTTGTTTCTATTTTGACAGACTGAATGGGTAGATTCTCCTGAATATATTGTGACAAACGAACAAACAAACTTACAGCTAACGCAACAGTATCATGCAAATTTATAAATGTACATGAATGTAGATGTATTTGGAATTCTACCTCTAATTTGTAGCAGAAAAATGCATCCAATTACGAAAGTTAACTCCAGAGTTTTGATCGCCTGGATATACATTTTGTATTAAGCTTAACTGGTGATTTTTAAGTCCTTTAGTCCATTTATTCACTGACTGTATAAGCTCTTGGAAACTAGCGTGTTATATAATTTTTAACTCCAGAAAGCTAGTTAGCTGCAAAATTACAGCCAGTCCAAAATCTTAAACACTCAATATGCGTATATCTTTTTTCATGTTGAAAATTTGTGACATTGAACGCTGAATCCCATGAAATTTTACTGAATAATACATATTAGAAAAACTTCTACTGTCTTCTATGCTATACTGAGTATGTTCTGTTTACTAAATAATAGATGAAGAAACCAAAATTACTCAGAAAACCAACTGTTAATGTTTCTTGTCTTAGTAAACCTAATTCTGGAGTCTTGAAATAATTTTGTCATTTGTTTCTGTCATGTGTATGTACTCAACAGTTCCTTTTCGCTTCGTAGAACTCTAGCTCGGAAGCTGCAAATCGATAATTTTCATGCGTTTCTGAAATTTTAGCTACCCTAAGAAGTATCGTCACTTAGAGTTCAGTTTTAGGACATCTGCATTTTCATTGATGTCGTTTTCACCAGGAAATGCTCACCCCAATATGACACCACCAAGCTTAAATTAGATTGTTCGTATACGTATAATTGGTACCAAAACATTATGTCCACAGGAGTCAGATAGTTATTCTTCTTTCATGTGTGAATTTAATGCGTCTTCTGAGTTTCCTAATGTAAAGTCACAGTTTCACTTCGAAGTATAGTAAAGTCAGAAAGGAACAGGTTGTTCATTAACCAAGTTTTATATGCAATAACTCACTACCAAGAAGAATAGCCCATATTCCTACTGAATGATTAAGTATTCATCCAACAACTGGTTAGTAGATGGAAAGCATTGTAGCTCCAAGTACTTAGTAGCTATATAGATCTGTTCTTTCAGTTTTTATTGTCGCCACTGGGGTAAGAAACACAATACTACAATGAGCGGTGTTTAGTATTTAACATAAAAAATCTGACTAAAAAACTACAATTATTTCTTTAAACATTATCTCTGGATCAGTTCCGAATTGTAGATCTACAAGTAGCCAGTCATAACTTGCATAGTACTAGTGAATTCTCTATACTCCTCACCTAGTACGATAAGTTCAAATCCCATCATTTTCGCAAATACATCTCTCTAATATGCAGCAACAAAAACAAAACGTACAAAAATAATATTCATAACACCAAACTAATGAATCACTTCTTAAATAAACAAAATACAAAGAAACAGCACTTACCGATTCGAAGAAAAGACGTTGATTTTTGCAAATCATCAAAGGCGTGTCTAGATATCTTACCATATGTATAATCAAGTAATAACTGTTCATTGTTTATAAAGGAAATCCAATTCTCAACAACCTTTGGTATATTTTTGCGTATTTCACTAAGTTCATGTTTAGTCATATTTTTCGGAATACCTTTCAATGATGCTAAAACTTTAGCATTTCTGAATCACGCAGAAAACGTTCTTCGAAGTTCAGTGCAACACCATGTAAGCAGAGTAGAATATTAAATAGAATTATGATAGCATATAATAGTGATTGGCAATTATGAGTTACTGATTGATGTATCACCCACATAGTAAAGAGAATTCTTTGTTTAAATTATTTATTTACGAATATGGCTTTGTTTTGAGATTTTTATGCTGTTCCTCAGTGTTTATTATAGCTCCACGTTGGTTCGTTTTAGGAAATTGAGTTTATTGTTAAGATGATCGTTTTATGCCTGAAAATGTATTCAGTACTTTATCTATTGTTTAACTGTGTGAATGACTGCAGGAAGTTGAAAGTATCCTAGTTGATGTATACAATAGTGTAAATGACGTCTCAGTTAACTACTTATCATTAAGTCAATCCCCTCACGTTTTATTTTGTAGCTATCCACTCCTTTATATATACATAACTTATGTAACGTTTTTAATCAGACAGTTATGTAACATTATTACTGTTTTACCAATTCGCTGTTAATAATGTGTTACTGTTAGCGAACAAACAAGTTGTTTTTAAAAGAAAATAATGATAAAAACAAGAAAAGGATGTTGTCGAAAGACAAAAACACTATCAGTAATAATAGTGTTGTGATAACTTACAACAACAACAACAGTATTGATAATAATATTAGTAATAGGAACAGCATCGAATCAACAAAAATTTGAATTCCCAAAACTTAACAATAATATTGGTACTCTTATCTACAACCAACTAAAACGACGAATAAATAAATGAGAAATGTGGGGTAATTTGTCTACTTTTTCATATTTTTCTCTCTCGCTCTCCGTCTCTTTATCACAAGCACACCTAAGGGGAAAAAAAGCCTCTCTGTGTGTCGTTTCAGTCATTACATAACTCAGTAGTACACTTTAGAATACAAACAGTAGTAATGTTTATCCACGTGCATCTAAATAGATACTTGTATGCATGTGTTTGTGAGCGACGGCAGGTATGCCCAATGATAGACTAATATATCGAGAATGTAGACTCCCCACTCATGTTTAATATCTCCCATTATCACCTACATATTCATTCATATATACATACACTATATTGCAAGCATTAGTAACCAAAAATATGTCAGTGGTTCAAAATTCAAAATAACAGCTATTAGAAAGCTTGTACGTGTGCTTATATTCATTGCTGTCCGTCTAAAATATTTTCACAATATTTTCTACAATTTTGTTATGCTAAACAATTTTTAAGCATTACATACCAGTATGATAACAGCCCACTTTTATTGTATAAAGTAATCACCTGAGGATTCAAACATACATAAGTATATATCCAACACCTACTTATCCTTCATAAAAGTATGATGGATACAACACTCTCCAGTACTAGTATAGCAATGTTTGTATTTGTACTATTCAATGCCTACCTAATAATTAATATGCAGAAAATAAATTTCCTACAACCAATATGTGTGCTATTAAAATAAAATTTGAAGTTGGAAAATGTTGCCCGTTAAACTTCAACTTATCACTTACACGATAACATGCCTGAAAAAATCCCTAGAGGTCCTGAAAATTCTCCGCTATTCGCCTGCAGTTAGAAATATTAGTCTTTTCACAGTTAGTACAGTATGCCTGTGCATTTTGCAGAGCCTGGCAAAAGCCCATACAGGAGTGCAGATGATAAATTTGAATTGATAAAAGACTAAGTGTTGTTTAAATTCAAAACGAGAAAACTCAAGACTTAGTATCGTACTCTGAGATTTGTCGAGATTTTTAAGGTTGTATTCATCAAGAACAGAAGTAGGAAACTGTGGACCACTGAATTCTGACTCAATGGTTAACACATTCGTCATACAAACCGAAGGTCCTGAGTCCGATTTCTGGGGGCATTGTGGATGCATACTACTGGGGAGTCCCATACCAGAGCGGAGAAGCTATCTGGTTCTCCCACACTTCGAACAGCTGCCCAACTGATGTCAGTTCGTGGTGAATACAACTTCATAGTCTGTTACATTTGGCCGTCTCTTTGCCGTGATGAAAAGCGGGTCCAGTAAACATTGGTTTTGATTCATGATGCCTAGTTACTAATAAGGTTATGGATAGATACTAAGCAAACCGTATTCATTTTTTATCGTCTTTTCATTTATTTTGTCTACTGATCGTATCTGGTCAGTATAAAAGGCTTTTAAAAATTAAAGTAAATTAGTAGTATATATGAATGCTCTTTCAAAAGTAGGCAGAGTAACCGAAGGTGAAATGATTGCACTTCCTTTACTTAAATTTTTATAATATAAATATCTTTTTATTCAGAACGATTTTACTTCCGCTAAAATTTCAATGATATGTTTTATTTGTATCCCAAAAGTAGCTTTGTGCAAGGTAAAGTAAACCGACCTTTCACTTGAACTAAGTGAGACTAAACGATATTATTTTGAAAATACTAGATCAGTGGGTTAACTCCAAATATGGATGGAAGTTTAAATGATGATTCATTGGAACTGAAATGAATAACCAAGAATGTGAGCTTTTAACTTTTTTGAGTTATTTTCTGACTCAAAAATTTATCGAACTAATATTTTGCATTTGTGAAAACTTATTACTTCGGTAAATTTGTTTTAAAGAATACAAAAGCATACGCGAATAATTAGCTTCCCGTAGTGGCTACGTTTTTACACGAAAATGAGATAGCAGCACCTTAACCGCCAGAAAACATGAATGACACTCGATATATGAAATAAATCTATTACGAAATTAGTTTACCTATTAAAAATACAAAGAGTTTTCTGACACATAAAAGATATAGCTGATATGCAGCTCGAAGCATGCGGTTGAAATGGGGAAATAAAAAAGCAGTGATTTTCTTTTCATCTAAGCAATAAATGCACTAGAATATGTGACATTTGGAACCAAAGCCTGTCAGTACAGTTTAACTCGCTTTCAAATATCTTATTCCGAACTGCCGGTACAAGTGTAATCGCCTGAGTTTGCAAAGTATCGTTGGATGGTTGCCTAGTCAGTTTTTTTCAGGTATTGAAATTGCTCTTCTTACGGATTCTAACAAGAGTCAAATGTGGGTCTACGTTTTTGTTTAAATAATCAATATCAACTACTGGAAATGAAAAAAATGACCTTCAAAGGAAATCAGAACTTCAGAACATTTATTCTTAACAGGCAACTAAAAATGTACAAATAATCACTTATCTATTCCTTATACTAACAATAGAAATTATCGATGTTACACTTTAACTTTCCTTTATGCACACAACACTCCTAAAAGTCATGAATAAGACGCAAATAATTAAGTGGACATGGTGGTGATTTTTGAGGAAACAGAAAAGTTTTCATTGTTAGCAGAATTTCGTTCTATAATATTACCAAGTATTCCTCTTTTCTATCTTACATTGTTGCTCAATCATTTCTTTTTTACCATGAAATGTTATATTAGGCTATTCCTCAGAAAGCACTGACCAGTGATAAAGTCTAGAATTTTGAAAAGATAAAAATGAACTGTGAAAATCCAATGATTGTTGTTTTTTATTCACCTGTCTACCTAGTTCAGCAAACAGTGATGCAGTCATTCCCTTCGATTGTGTTTTGGATATGATCCATTTTACATTTTCGTATCAAGACCATCAACTAGCTTTCAATTGTTTTTGGTACTTGATTTAGTTTCTACGAGTATTTGAACTTTCTAAATAGTTAAGATTACCATATAATCATTCCTGTTGCATCTAACAGGTGTTTATTCGATGAATCAAAATTCTGTAATCAATCAACTTTACTCTTTATCTGACGAAAGTGAGTTTTGGCACTGTTTATTAGCCTTATGATGTTATTCGGGGCCATTATATGCATCGAACTAACGGACTTTATCTTAACTAAAATTCACTTTTGCTAGTGAATAGAGGTTGGTTGATTAATTAACACCTGATATGTGTAAGCTGAGTGGTTTTACAAATACAGTGGAAACTGCTGTTATTGGGGGGAGTAAAATAAAGCACCTTAGACCGAGATTTGCAGTCTGTTTGTTTAGTCATATGAGTTTGAGGGCATTTCAAGAACTGCATGCAAAATGCAGTCCAGTAGACAATACTGTATTACTACATTCTGTAAATAGACTAACACAGACAAGAAGAAGGAAGATTGGGAAAATTTATTTCAAACATCTTTTGAATTCTTTGTCTTATGAATATGAGGGATCCAATAACTCGAACTGAATATCGCTGTCATGGTTTACTTACAGGTTTCCTAAGCTGAAAATGACCAAGAGAACCTATGATTTCAGAATGAAGGAATAGACTGGCTATTTTGAGCTACTTGACAAAGTAGGTACACAGATCAAATAAAAGTGAGAATGTCCCTACGTTTATTTTACTCTCATTAATAAAGCATGTATAAACTCTCGTGTGGTATGTTAGCTGTTCTAATCTCTTCGATTTACTGGAGAACATTTTGAGACTTCTTAGAGATAGACAGATTTTATTTCAGTCTTCTGTTTTCACTGACGCTTTCTTCGATGCTTTTCTTAAGCGGAAAAGTCATGGTTGCATGCAAATTGCACTGAAACAAAATTGTGCTCACTGCTATCGCTTCCTTGTAAATGTCGTTCACTATTTAGATTTCTTTATAAACAATAGTTTCTTTATTAATGACACTATCTGAGATGGTCGTGGTTTGTAGACTGATGGTACTGATAATCGGTGATCATGAAAGGAGAAATAAAAACCTCAGAAGCGACGGGATTCAGAACACGGGTTTCTTGGTTAAAGAAGACATAATCCTTGTCTTTCAATGTATCAGGTAAAGCAGTACACACTAGTGCAAATAATTAGTGGCGAACAGCAATTTATTCATCGGAAAAACAGATTATGATTATTCTAATATTTTTCACCATACCGGGTTGTTATTCTTCATGACGTAGAATGCTAGCCATATCTGATGTTATTCAAGACATATA